CATCCGACCGTTTTCTCACCTTCTTAACCTTCTTACAGGAGAATCATGTGAAAGAGGAGAGGGAAGTGCAGCCAACACCAATGAATGCTTTTGAACTTATTTCTATGTCGAAGGGGTTAAATCTGGGAAATTTATTTGACTCTGAGATGGTAAGTGCTTTGATAGTTCTAATAGCTGTGCTATATGATTAACCTGATATAAATTCTGTATTTTGTTGTTTATGCGTGCAAAAAAAATCCTTCTACCTTGTTTAAAGCACGATCGAGATTATCATAGCGAACATGATTCCATTGGATACAGTAATTTATCCTAAATAGTTATAATTCCTCGCCTCTAGGAATTCAAGAGAGAAACCAGATTCACATCAAAATGTGCAGCAAAAGAGATAATCAGTAAGATTGAAGAGGCTGCAAAACCACTTGGATTTGATGTTCAGAAGAAAAATTATAAGGTGGGCCTCTTTCTAAATCTTTTTTCATCACTTAAACTGTCCAAAAATAATGTTCGTAACGTTCAATATTTTTCTCACAATAATGTATATTTTTTGGGCAAATTTTATTTCAGATGAGGCTAGAAAACGTGAAAGCAGGAAGAAAAGGAAATCTGAATATTGCTACTGAGGTCAGACAAGAAGTGCATTTCATTTTTCCTCTAAAAGGAAAATTAGTTCTCAATTTGTTCTTAGTTCTGACATTTGATTTATTTTTCTTCAGATTTTTCAAGTGGCTCCTTCTCTTCATATGGTAGAGGTGCGGAAAGCTAAAGGGGACACACTGGAGTTCCACAAGGTATTGTCGTCCATCTAAAATGACTGAGATTAATTCTTTCGGGATGCCGTCTTTATTCTTTACAAATCTGTAAAATGTGGTTCATCATGAAATGAGTACATAATTACTAGTCGTTTTACTTGAAAGCGGGTAAACGTAAATTTTGGTAAAATTCATAGAATTTTCGCATTTCAAATGCACAGGGCTATCCCAGCATACATGTTGCTACAGTTCTGCGATTATGGCATAGTGTACATAATTATTAGTCGTTCTGTACCATTAAGTTTCATTCTATCTTGTTCGTTAATCCCGATGCATCTTTCCTACGGTATCTTGTTAGTTAATTCACAATTTTACATTCTTGCAGTTCTACAAAACCCTCTCCAATGGCCTCAAGGATGTTGTTTGGACATCAGAAGATATGGAAGGTAAAGCTGCTTTCTCATGATATACAGAACCGCAGCAGATTTATTTGTTTCTGTAAGATGTAAATGATGTTCTTGTTGAGTAATCATCTCCAAAAAATTTCAGTTCTATTTCATTTTGTCATATGGAACCTTTGTTCTTTACTGCATTTTTCTTTTTCTTTTTTCCATTTTCCTTTTCATGTATTTCAGAAGACAGGAGTGTGAGTTCTATGTGTAGACAGTTTTTTCAGTTAATATATTAGAGAAGAGGGGTTTTCCATTTGTTTATGTTTGTGTTTTGTGTGCATCTCTTTTAGAAAACTATGTACTGTTCAATTATCTATCTTGGGAGTGTTGTTGATATTGTTTTCGAATCTAGCTACTTTGTTTGAACACACTCGCATATGAGTCAGAATTTTTTGATCAGTGTTAGTAAATAGGAGGTGATCCCAAACCTGATGATATGAGGTTTCGGCTTCGAGATCAGATTACCATCTTTGAAAAATAAAAGAAAAAAAAAATCATAGTGACCATCTATATGTACGTGAGATTTGGAAGGTGTTGAGATTAGAATTTTGAGATGTGTCTTGTATCTTTAATCTGCTGGCAATTTGAGTGTTGAATTTCTACTACACAGATGTAAACCAAAATTGGTTGAACCACATTATTACCATGTCAATTCTTCTGTCACTTTTACTAATGGTGGTGATTGGGCTGGGTTGGCTTGGCCCACAACTTATACTGAACCTGCTCGTTTTAGGTGGGGTTTGACCCGGCGCGGTAGAATATGGGTCGGTTTTGGTTCGGTTCGATTTCAAAGTGGGCCGGGTATAAGTCTATTTCTAAATCTCTGACCCAAAGTCGAACCCGGCCCGCAAACCTAACCCAGCTTGGATGGAACCCGGGCTCAGGCTGACCCTAGAACCTAACTCGCACCCAATCTCCATGATGACATTAGTTTTAGTGAAGTAAATTAGTTATTTAGTAACTAACTAATTAGTAGTAACTACTTAGTAATCTTAAAAGTAAAGCCAAGTTAAATGTGTGTGTGTTTTCAAGTAAAAACTTGGTAGGCCGAGTCCAAAACTTTACTCAAGATGGAACAAAATCGCTACCAATCGGTTAAAATTCTTCTAAATTAAGTTTTAAGGAAGTCAAAAAATAAAAGAAAAAAAAAGAATAGAAAAGGAAAAGTAGTAGGCCGGGTTGACCAACCAGGCTCGACTTGAATGGGCCGGGTTAGTGGGCCAGGTTGGGTTGCATTCTAGCCCTAGACATGCTTTGACTCGAACCAAACTCAAGATTGGCCCGGATTGAGCCAGCCTAGATCAGTTCGAAACCGGTGTGCCTAGACTTAGATTAGCCTAGCTCGACCTAGTCGCCGGCCCTAACTTTTATACATTATATATGAATGAGCCTATCTTGTCTACTTTTATTATTATTCTTAGGGTTGGAGAGTAACTTACAATCGTAGAATTGACATTAGTTGACAGGGTTAATTGCTGATAGACCCGTGTAGTATCATTGTTTGTATCCCTTCTAGTTTTGCTGATAGACCCCATGAGTGAAACTTCGTTGACTCTTTAGCTTTAGGGCATGTTTGTTTGCACGGAAGTAATTATGAAGTAGCTGAAGTAAAAGAAGTAGAGGCTACTTCTACCACTTCCAAGCAAAAAAAACGTGTTTGGTTTTCTGAAAAACTTACTTCCAATACTTCTTTAAACGCTTATGTGGCGTTTACGTGTCATCCTTACTTTCAAAATATTTTTTCAATCATCAATACTCAGAAGTAGCTCGGAAGTAGTTGAAATGCATATTAATTAGGAAATAAATAATTTTTTATTAATATTTCATTTATTAGTTACTTCTAATAACTTTTCATTGATAAAATTGCTCTTAATTTTAACAATTATTCTGTAGTAATTTGTGATGGTCGTCGGCCAACTTTTCTTTGGGATGAAGAGAACATTTTGTATATTAATTCTTTGTCTAAATACCACGTTGATGTTACGATCAAAGGAGCGAGGGAGGAGGGAAATTGGAGATTCATAGGAATTTATGGTTATCCGGAGTCTCGTCATAGGCGAGAGGTAAACAATTATTTTAAAGCTAAATGGTTGAAAGATTCTTCTTGCTCTCAAGTGGAGAGGGGTCATAGCGGCATGAAAATGGTTGTAACGTGTTGCTGCGCCTCGATTCATGAACTGAAAAATCCAAACCCAGCAAAGATACCATTAAGTTTTATCCGGAGTCTCGTCATAGGTTGAGCAAAATACGCTCAGATGACGCAGCTGCTGCGCCTCGATTCATGAACTGAAAAATCCAAACCCAGCAAAGATACAGATACCCGTACAAACTATTGATCAGCCCGTGGGAAGTCCTGCCTTCAAACTTAAAACATTACAAGTACAAACCCAGTTCTCCAAAACAAGAGTCGCCAAATTCCATGATTAAACCATCAAAAGAGAATCAAGCAGAAAAATAATAAAAATACGACTGCTGTCATGAAAGATTGGAACAACTAAACAAGGAGCTGCAAAAAGCAACGACTCAACTGGAGGGAAATCCAAGCCCAATTTCCAAACTACTGAAAAAAAAATCACCAACATAAATAAAGCACAAATTCACAAGCACACAAACACACAAATACCACCATTTATGTTCTCCTCCTCCGCAACTAACTGCTAAATTAAACAGCTACCTACAAACACAGGGAAACTTAGAATCATAACACTACTGCTTCACTTAGCCATCATGACTTTGACGAACTCCTCGTAGTTGATCTGCCCATCGCCATCAACATCAGCCTCGCGGATCATCTCGTCAACCTCCTCATCGGTCAGCTTCTCACCAAGATTGGTCATGACGTGGCGAAGCTCAGCTGCAGAGATGAAGCCATTCTGGTCCTTGTCAAAGACCCGGAATGCTTCCTTGAGCTCCTCCTCGGAGTCGGTGTCCTTCATTTTTCGGGCCATCAGGTTGAGGAACTCCGGAAAGTCAATGGTACCGTTTCCATCAGCATCGACCTCATTGATCATGTCCTGAAGCTCGGCCTCTGTGGGGTTCTGGCCAAGGGAGCGCATCACAGTTCCCAGTTCCTTGGTTGTGATGCAACCTGTTTGGATTATCGTACAAGAGTGAACGTTACTGAAATTAGATATTTTTTCCTCTGTCTCCGCCCAAAAGTTTAGGACAAACTTTTCACATGTAAGCTATGCAGTATGAAAAAGTTAAATTGAGTGCAAATTATGTTTTATTGACATCTAGGTCACACTTAGAACACAATTCAGGAGAAGCAAGAAACAGATATAAAGAAGCTTACAACTATTGGGATTGTTTTGTAGTCTCCAACTACAAGCAAAGCAACCAAACATATAGTTGTATTAAGTACCATAGCATCAAAAATGTGATTAAACCAACAGTTACACACAAGATCCAAACAAAATGACGCAAGTCTCAAATGCAACAACTATGGACGGGTCTCAAATGCAGCAAGGGTCTCAAATGCAGCAACTGCGTAAATCTCAAAGGCAGCAACTATGCACTGAATAATAAATGTGCCTGGTAGCTTGCATTTGGAGCTCTCATATGGTTACAACTTTTCAATCTCAATGTGTAACTAGTGTATTTGGGTTCTAGTTCAGTCAGAATTGCCTACAAGACGAGCATAACTACAACTACATCATGGCAATTATTCGCGTGCAATTTTTGTAGGGCTTTTTCCCCTTCGAAGCTCTCATTTAAAATACTAATGAAAGTCAACAACTAAATATTTTTTCTAAATGATTTTCTGATGAAGTTGAAAAACTTTCCTTAAACATAGCTATCAACTACACCTCGAATTAGAGAATACTAGATATTCACTGCTTTTCCAAAAATATAAAACTTGGTTATGTCCAACATTCTACAGTACTAAAAAGGAGTTCAAAGGATTATTGCCATAGAATATTTCTCTTTGATCACCCAAGTAACTTAGCTAATATTTATCACAAAATTGTTATAGCCTTTATGGTAGAAAGTAGGAAGCAGAAGTATGCAGCATAATGCCTATTAATGAAGTGACGCGTGCTACTCTCTTGAGAAGAATCCGAATTCACAAAGACCTACTCATGATCATGTTTGGAAATAAACAGTAACAGACAAAAAGTTGTTCCTTTCCCCCTCCCCATTTGGAACTAAGTAGATTCATGTGCAGGGTTACTTTACTTAAAAGGATCTAAGTTAATATCTAGAAAAGCTCACATGGGTAGGGGTACGGGACACGGCAAATTTGTAAAAGTTAGGGTACAAGGACACGGCTATATATATGAATCTTAATATTAAATTAATAATTTACATAAGATCAATAATTTTTTAAATTTACATAAGATCAACATATAAGAAATATATGTGAAGTGTAGAATATACATCCAAGAAGTGTATGAGTGTTTTAAATTAATACAGGTATTATATAATTGAGTATAGGCCCGAATAAACATATGCATATATTCAAGAAGTGTCCAAGAGGTTTGGGTATGGGTACAGGTACATGTCCAGTACGGGTACGGTTTTCTAATAGAATAGAAGTACTCAGATGACTGTGTGTGTGTGAGAGCGGATCCACCTTGACCAAACTGGTGTCACGTGACACCAGTTTGGTATAGGAACGTGACACCAGTTTGGTATAGGAAGACAAAAAACCCACTCCTATTATAAACCCACCTCTCTAAGAAACTTACCCCACTACAATTTAGATGACCCACTTTGATAGAACCGAACTCAAAATTCCAAATTCACATTCGATCAGCTAATTAAAAGGGTAAATTTCACAAAAACCATATTAGTTTGGGAGTTTCTCAGATTTGGTAGATTCTCAGATAACTCCCCTTAACTTCTAATATGTTACAAACTACTCTTTAAGTTTTTTGGTTCTCAGACAACCCCCTTCAATTTTCTATTATACAAAACCCCCTAAAAACATGAATCACAATTTTCACTATAAAAAATCTCCTTGCATAATTTAACTACACATTCGAGAATTGTAGTTAACGCTAACAAGGGTCATCTTTGAATGATGTTGAAGTTGAGGGGGAGTTTTTTGAGATCCCCAAAAACTTAAGGAGGGTTTTGTGACAATTTGAAAGTTAAGGGGGTAAACCAAGGAACACCCAAACTTAATAGGGTTTTCTAAAATTTACCAACTCAAAAACTCACCCCAAAATTCAAGTCTAGAACTTGAGAATCTATAATTAGTTACACATATATATTAAGAAAGATGCATATGATAGTGTTACTAATGATGTGATTATGTACTTTTTAATACTCATCGGGGAAAATTGTAAAGCTTTTTTAATTACTAAATATGTAGTGGCACCAATTTCAAGAATTCTTGGATCTGGATCCGCCACTGTGTATATATCACTCCGGCATGGTCATAAGGCATCATAAGCAATTTGTTGAAGAGCTAAATACAAGGAAGTAAATCATGGCATATGTATGTGTACATGTGAGACAAATATGGAAATACTTGTCACGTAACAACATGCGAAATACATAAACTTTTGTTTGGGAGAAGTATGTTTCATACACTAGCAACTTTGCTGCTTTATTAAATATTGATTTTGAACTCTCGTCAAATAGGATGGAATCCAATTTCATTTGTATCCTCCTTTCTTATGTACTCCATTCTCTGATCAGATTAGACAACATTTCATTCCTTTCTGCCACATACGAATAATATTAGACCCAAGGATGGATCCAGCTTAAGAGCCTTGGGGCATGTGCCCCCATGGACTTGGTAACCATAAGTTAAATTGATTTCAAGATGAATAGGTGCTCACAAACAATACTTACCTGGTGCCCCCATTTAGAGAACAATTATGAAGTACTACTATGAAACTCAATAGTGTGTTGTTAGTTTTTGTGATGAAAATAAAAAAAGAAATTGATCGTATTGCTATGAAAATTATGATGAAAAAAATTATATGTTAAGATCTTTGTGATTGTTGTATAAATAAGTTTATAGTAGTGGAATTTATATTATATAAGTTATTGACTTATATGTATACTATTACATGTGCCCTCATAGAAGAAAAATTTTGGATGTGTTTAAAACTATCATGCCCTTAAGAGAAAACTTATATTTATTTCCCATGTAGGTGTTATGATACATGTGTACAATATTACAGATGGCGATAGGCGAACTAGGCGTTTCAGGTAGCGCCTGTCGCCTAGATGCCTAGGCGACGCTTAGGCGTTTTGCTTTTTTTAAAATTATTTAATTAAAAAATTAATAAAAATGTGTATTAAATTCATATAAATTTATAAAAAATAGCAATCTTAGATCCACAATAAACCATGCATAGTTAAATACTAAATAATCAAAATAATAACTAACAGTATTATAAAAAGCGCTAGAAAGCCTAGGGGTTGGACTCGATGCCTAGAGTCTAGGAGGTTTTCTTTTTTCTTTTTTAATTATAACAATTGATAGTAAATGTCAATGTTATAAAAGGCTTAGGTGTCGGACTGATGTCTAAGCGGATTTGTTTCTTCATTTAAGTGGTGGTCGAGGAGGTTTTGCTGAAGGTCGTCGGAGATAGTGAAGGTGTTCATATTTGGAGGTTAAAAGATGTTTGGAGGAGATTAGAGGATGTAGAGGCTGCAACACAGAAAATCATGACCAATGCCTAAAAGATGCAGTGCACATAAGCAGACAATGCTCTCCTAACACTCCTAAAATCTAGGTGGGCAACCAAGGCGCTGCCTAGGCAGTAGGAACTAGTTAGGCGGTCTAGGTACCGCCGAGGTCTAGGCGTACGCCTAAGCGAACTAGGCGGAGGTTTTTTAAAATAGTGCATGTGTAAGAAAATGATGTTCTCTCTGTCCACGAACAAAGAAAAATTTGCACGGCCTATTTTAAAAAGCGGTCTGGGCATCCGCCTTGGTGGCCTAAGCAGTACTTAGGTTGCCCACCTAGGATTGGGAGTGCCTAGGGGAGCATGGATCGGTTAGGCAGATTGCATCACATCACAAATGGGTATATCACTCGCTTAGGCACATTAATGTATGAACTATGAAGAGAATGGGCCAAGTCAAAATGGATTGGATCAAAACGTTATATTGAAGTCAATCTTAGATAAACGGCACTGATGTGGTTTTGGATCTTTGAAAAGAAATCATTCCTCTCTTAATGCCAAAACTGCCCATGTGCCACTTATGCAACCACCTAGGTGCCCCGGGCGCTAGGCACTTGGTCCAGTGCCCAAAAGCGCCTAGCGGTTTCTAAAACATATGCCCTTTCTACAAATTGATAGAGAAGAGTTCAAATCTAGAACACAAAACCTATAACAACACTTTCCAAACAGGAGTTTTTTATGCTCGTTCATTTGGAAAGCTTAACCCCCCCCCCCCCAAAAAAAAAAAAAACCTATTTTTCTCATGGCATTTGGGATCTCAACCCTCAGAGCTATAGAATGTTTACCTCATGGAAACCCTAAATCTTCAACTAATTAATGTTGAACCCATCTTCAAAGTAACCAACAATTATGTGCCAAATTAAAATGGTCATTTTATACGCTCATAGTCCTCAAGTAGAATTAGTATGTTGATTGTACATAGTATGTTGTAACTCAGCCTTTTATTCATGGTCTTGTCGTATAAATCGAAACATGAATAAAACCCTTTTAAAACTAAGCCATTTTGGGTGTTGATTACACTTGGCCAACATTCCTATAAAATTTTCTATTTTGAAAATAAAATATGGCATTTAGCTAATTAGTAAACTAGTTGGGTAATTGATAGTTATATAGCTAATTAGTAAACCAGTTGGGTACTTGACAGTGACATTTTTCTGTTGGCAGTTAGGATCTCAGCCATCCATATTAGTGAGCTACAGTAAGTTTACCTCGTGGGAAAATCCCCAACTAATTAATGTTGAACTCAACTCTAAAGTAAAAACAATTATGTGCCAAAGTAAAAATGATTATTTGTACGCTCATAATCCACAAGAACTGCGCTGATTATACATAACATATTGTCACCCTCAGCCATTTTAGTCATGGTCCCCATTTTAGGCATGGTCTGGTCTTTATAAATCAGAACATGAATTGAACTCTTTTAATTCTAAACCTTTATGGGCATTGATTATACTTCGTCAATATTCCAGAAGAACTATCTGTTTTGAAGAAATAAATATGTCATTTAGCTAATTCGTGAACTTGTTGAATAATTGATAGTAATATATCATAGTTAGGATGCTAAAGAAAATGATACAATTTCTTCATACATAATTGTCTTCAGCCCCTATTTCTAGTTACATCCTTGGTGTGGCATGCTGAAAAGAATGGTGTCGCGATAAAAGAAAATGTACGAGCTATGAAGGACAAAAGAGGGAAGATGGCATCCATCAGATCAGTTTTCATATCCCACCATGTGATTTGGTTCCTCGAATGCATTGGACTGGAGTCATTGTCCAACGCTATCCCAAGAACACCAACCGTCATGTGCTCACTCCTCAAAATACCACAACATCTTTGCTTGATTAAGAAGAGCATAGTTGTCGTGATCCTAAAGTAGAGATGGCCGACAGGATGAATCGAGTCAATTCGTCCCTGTCTTGTAAAAATCCACAATGAGACGAATCAGATTCATCTTGTTTTGAATTCATATGAGACAAATTCGATAACCTGGTCACGAATTGAGCCTTAGACCCAATTTGTGACCCGTCTCGTGGCGAGGCGAGTTAGACTCGTCTCACCATGAGACTAATGAATTGGGCCTTTTTCCCGATTTTTCCCTCCTATTTTTTTGTTCTTCAATTTTTTTCTCTAGACTAATATTATTTTATATTATTATTTTTAATATTTGTTATATTTTATAATAATAAAATACAAGTGTACCAATTACAAAAATTAAGGAGAAATAAATAGAATAAACTTTTCATTTCATAAAATAATAACAAATTACTTCACATAATGATTGACAATACATCGGGGAAAAAACTTTATTAGGAGGAATAAGTGTAAGCTCCCGATGAATTGTCGGAGGCTCCAAAGAAATACCCAAAAGAAGAGTTGTAGTGCTCCATAATGTGAGATGTTGTAAATACTAGAGGGAGAAAAAGATGAGAGTAGATATTGTAGTAGAAGATGAGAGTTTGAGTTGTGAAGAATGAAAGGCATTTAGGCCAAGGGATATTCGTAGGATTGGGGACTAGGGGTGGAGGGAGGTTTTATTTATATTTTTTTAGTTGTCTCCGCCTGCT